ATATATAGAAAAAATTAGCCAGGCATGGTGGCACATGCCTGTAGTCCCAGCTACTTGGGAGGCTGAGGCAGGAGGACTGCTTGAGCCCAGGAGTTTGAGGTTGCTGTGAGCTAGGCTGATGCCACGGCACTCTAGCTCGGGCAACAGAGTGAGACTCTGTCTGGGGTGGGGGGGGGAGTATATGGGAGAATGTGCATAGGTCATGTGGAAAACTATGCCATTTTATATCAAGAACTTGAGCACTCTTGGATTTTGGTATCCTGAAGGACCTGGAACCACACCTCCTTTAATACTGAAGGACAACTGTATTCCTTCTTTCATTCCCAAGAAACACCGCTGCGAATACTGCCATTGGTTGTATATTTAAAAACATTGTTTAAAAAAAGCCCCTTATTAATGTTTTGCTCATTTTAAAAACTATGCCTTTTTGAAAAAACAAATGCTAGTATCAATAAAACCTGTCTATACACAAGGCTTCCCAGGTCACATAAGAAGAGAAAGAGAATAAATACATAAATAGCATATGGTATTTTTCTAGTATTCAAGAAGTTTTTTTTCTATTTGTACAGTACCAGGAGAAGAAACAGGAACATGCTTTGATAGTTTTAAAGAGTTCTCCTGCTCATATATATATATATATATATCTATATATACGTAAAAATGAAGTCTCAAACTTTCAACTCCAATTATAGGAAAAAAACATTTTCCAATTAATCAAAATTTGCATACATTTCTGGTGGATTTCATAGTTTAGCTTACAAAACTTAAAATCTTACTGAGTTGGTCTGCCCATGTAGATGCCTGGTGTAGGCGTGTGTGCTCTCTTGGTGATAGAATAATCCACACGAATTCTTCTACCATCCAGCTCCATTCCATTTGCCCTTTCCATAGCCTGTAAGGAGAAACAGGCACAGAAAGTCATGCGTAATTCATTAGCTGTGAAGTGATCATTACTTAAAATTGAGCACAGACTATTTATACTCTAAATAAACTCCCAATTTTGAAAATAACAGCAATGTAACTTGGATAAGGGACTGAAGAGACATTTCTAGACTTCAACATTGTACAGAACACATTTTAATTTACTCAGCCCAAAGTGTAGTTAATAAACTTTTCTCCAAGTAATTTTCCAGCTCTGGCTCAGTTCCCACTACCAAGAAGATCAACAAGGAGAATGGGGATAAGAAGTCTTTTCAAGCAAAACTTTTCGTAGGTTGCCCAGGTAGCCTGCCATTTCGCTTACGAGGACTGACTTCAAAACATTAAAAAGGGTGAGTTAAGCTTTATATAGGTTCTATTTATAACCTGTCTCCATTCTTGTTTTTTAGTTTATAGTCCAGTATACTGATGAGACTCAGTGAGCAGCCCAGAAAACAGATACAAACACGTATTACAGTAATGCCTTTTAGCCTCTTACTGAGAGGAAACCAATAAGCACACAATTTTTTTTTTTTT